GCCACCCCTCTTTTGATGGAGCCCAGGATCCCATTTGCCTTCCGAGCCGCAAGGGCACACTGCTGGCTCACGTTCAGTTTTTTATCCATCACGACCCCCAGGTCCTTCTCCACAGGGCTGCTCTCAAGGACCTCTCCTTCCAGTCTGTAGGGATGCCTGGGATTCCTCCGGCCCAAGTGCAAAACTCTGCACTTTGCAGTGTTGAACCTCATCAGGTTCACCCAGCCCACCTTTCCAGCCTCTTGAGGTCCCTTGAATGGCATACCATAGCTGTAGCATCCTTGCCTGATGCTGCCCATCTAAGGCCACAAGTTGCAATAAGCCACCAATTACTGCCATAGAGCTGGGAGATGAAGGATGCACAGGCCACCTGCTGCTGCTTTTTGAGGTGAAGACAGAGACTCAGAATCAAACCCAAGTCCCAGCGCCTCTTGCTGGGTGACCCAGATGTGCTCTCAGTGCCTTGGCAGCACTGCAGGAATCAGGTGCTTGCGGGGTACGGGGTGGTTTTGTTGTGCCATTGTGTTGATGCCAAGTTTCTACTGGCTTTAAACGTCTGATGGCTGGCATTTGTTCTTACAAACACTGATAGAGAAACGAGGTCACTTAGTCCTACTAACAACAAATAAATAGAAAGTAAAGCCTGCAGAAAATGTCTGGAAAGTCTTTGAAGTAAAAGTAACTCTGAGCAGTTTTCTGTCTTCCTAAGGAAGCCTCCTGTAGCAAGCATGGAGAAGGCAGGGAACCAAAGTGAAGAAAGTGCAGATGAATTCTGAGTCACGGCAGAGCAGGAGTTACACTCCAGGTCAGGGCAGGTAGGAATTGACGCTTACTGAGGCTCTTATCTCACAGTGCTCTCAAAGTGCTGCACTTTCTTCGAAGCTCCAGCTCCTCCTCACTTCTGGCTGTAGAGCAAACGCTGCTTTGCATCCCTGGGGCTGAGTCAGGGAGCAGCGATGGCTGGATGCAGCAGGCTGAGCTGCAGGTGCGAGCTCGGTGTCTTCAGGCACACATAACATAGCTTTTAGTATTTGTCTTACTACACGTGGGTATTGCACTGCTGGGGTTTGCTGAAGCTCAGTGGGGTTTTGGATCTGACATCGCCTTCTCCTCGGGACAGTGGAACCACGAGGCAGGCACATTGCTGGGGGGTTATAAAGAGCACCGTGCTAGGGAAACAACGAGGCAGCATCAGGAGAACTGGAAGGATGATGAGAATGTGAGCGAATGCATTTTCTTTTCTTGTAAACGTATGACATATCAGACACTTACTAGAATATGCAATTAACCCCGAGTTCCTAAAATCGGCACGTGTTTCTCTCCTCCGAACACAGTTCCAAATGAACTATTAGTATAAGTTCAGAAATGTCCTTGGGATGTTTCATGTACACATAGAACACTAACAGGTGATTTTAGGTGCTGGTAGAGTTCCATATGAAAACCCGGGTTTAGTTATAAATGCCAGATTTCATCTTGGAAAGGACACTTCAAATAGGTGAAATATAGGCAGGCATCAATTCCCAGGTCAGCCCGTTAAGGGCATCCTGAAGTGGCACATTTTGACTGTCGTGACCTTCACACACCAAGGATTTGGGTAACACAGACATAATGTGATGTTCTCACATTCAGAAATTGGGATTATACACTGTGCTTACCAAAACCCTGATGTTCTCTCGCACTCCAAAGCTGTGCTAATGCCATGTCTTGGCCCAAATTGGCAGAGCAAAGCTGCAACTTTCAGATGTTCTGCTCTGTCAATTTACAAAAGGATCGGTGCTACAGATACAGCTCAGTTTGCCATCTGTGATAACAAATATAATGTCACTGAAGAACCGGCTTCTGTTTCGGCGTTAAGAGAGAAAACGAATCTCCTGATTCGCACGCGGCAGTAAGAACAGCACTGAAGTGATTTTCGTTCTGCTTTGACGGCGTCTCCGTGTCTTTCATGTCCCTGCCCAGCCGAGCCGTTCCAGCATTCCCCATTTCCGTGCCGTCCGTGTGACATCAGCGGTCTCCCGCCGCTCCGGATGCCTGCGAATCCTCCCCCAGCACGGCAGGCGCACGGCGAGCCCAGGGGGAAGCCGGCCGTGGTGGCGGAACAGCTGCGCGTCATGGGGACGCGGGGGCACAGCGCCTGGAGCCGTGAGCTCACAATGCTCAGCGTGCGCCCCAGGCGTTCTGCGCCGCCCAGCAGCACTCGCTGTGGCTGCAGCGGCGGTGGTGGCAGCATGGCACGAGTGTGGGGGGCCACGGCCCCCGCCCGCCTTGCTCTCCTCCTCCTCCTGACGGCCGCGTGTTTCCAAGAGACTTGTGCCGCTCCGTGGCGAGCGCCAGCAGCGGGTGGGTGGGCAGAGACGGGGCCAAACCGAGTGGCGGCGAGGGCGAGAGCTCCGGGCTCTTGTCCCCGTGTGCTGCCCTGGGGCTGCCTTCCGTGGGGGTGTTGGGATGGGGGGACAGGCAGCAGCGCAGGAGCCGGGCGAGGGCGTGAGGAAGCAGTGCTCTGCAGGGCTGGCTCCAGCCGTGCCGGGCCGTGGCTCTGCTGCTGGCTGAGCGCGCTCTTCGCCCCGGGGTGTCCGGGGGGGAGCTCAGATGTGTGCTGGGAAAAGCGGGAGCGTTTCTGCTCCGGCTCCCCGTAGATGAATCCTGGCTCCCAGCAGAGACCGCCGGCCGGAGCCCAGATGGCTTCGGGTGTCTCTTCTCGGTGTGCTCTTCCACGCGGTCCCGGAGGGCTGTTGCACGTGGACTGGAGTGCCGGGCTCCGGGTCACCCTGTAGCTTTGGCAGTCGGGGCCTGAGTCTGCCATCCATCAGCTGAGCCCTCCCCCATCGCTGAGGGAGGAGATCGCGGTGTGCCATGGGAACATCCCTCTTCTGTTCTTCGTTCTAGATGCTGCTGCTGCTCCTTATCCGGACGATGGGATGAAGGCTGCTTTTGTGCCTCAGGGGAAACCCAGAGGTAAGCTGTGAGCGTCTGCTTCTGTGAAGGCAGAAAAGTTAGTGCAGTGGAGGCTCTCCTCACCTGTGTCTGATCACATCTGTGCCTGCAGGTCCTCTTGGTGGATTTCCAAAGCAGAGTCCTGTTCGTGAGCCCGGGCTGGATGCCAGAGGTAAGTCACCAGCCTTCATCTCCTGATCTCTGCTCATATGTGGCTGTGGTAGTTCAGGAAGGGTTCAGCTTTTCTCTGCCCGGTGATTTCTACTCCACGAGAAGCCTGGGTGCCAGCCAAGTGCCCACGTCTCCAGCTTTGCAACTTCCCACCCAAGTCTGGCTGCCGCGTCGCCAGCTGAGCCCCTTCCAGTCACTGCAGGTCCCTAAGGAAGAGAGAGATGACAGCACACCATGGGAATGTTTCTCATTACGGCTGTGCCTACAAGCAGTGTCTTGCCAGAGGCTGAGCATAATCTGCTCCATAAGCCTCTTATGGGGCTATCCCAAAGGAAAGGGCCTTTGGATCTTCCCTTCCCCTTCCTGCCCCTTCCTGTCTGCAGGCAGTTCCGCACACGGTTCCTTCGTGGACTGGCACGGTGCTGCTGCAGGCACCAGCAGCTATTTGCCAGATGCTGCTGTGAGCAATGCTGGCATTGCAGTCTAAACAAGTACCTGGCCACGTGTGACAGGAGCTGCTCTGTGTTTGTGTACAGGTGCGGGTGCAGTGGAATCGTCTCCAGCTTCCCAGCTGAGCTCCGGGACAGAAGCCCCAGCAACTCGTATTGGTATGCCGTGAGTTTTTGCTTCCTTTGAGAGATGCCAGCTCACAGCCCTGCTGTCAGCCAGGCACGTCTGCAGGTGTGAGCGAGTGAGAACACGCAGCTGCGTGCGCGTGCCCTGTCCTCACACGGTCCCCTGGCACCATCTGCTCTTCAGTGATGCTGCTGTGCAGTTGTGTAGATGGCAGTGTGTGGTGGGAAGTTCTCCTCAGAGAGCTTTGGGTGCAGAATTGCCTGCAGGGAAGGCTGTGCCAAATCCTCCTGTGCTGGAGCCCCGCAGGCATCCCAGGGTGGCTGTTGTCTTTATTGACTTCCCCGAAAAGACCGCTCGGTTCGAGGCTTTGTTTCTCTGAGATTTCTCTTCATGCTTTCTGTTAAGGTCCTGGAGGATGGAAGGTGGCATGGGAAGATGGAAAATATTCCAAGAGACTGTCCCATTTACTAAGGACAATCCTGGAGAAGGCAGCACGGGGTGAGTGTGTTTCTGTCTGTTCCCGGAAAGACTTGGGAAGCTGAGTTTCTAGAAGTAGATGTGGAGAAACTGTAGCGTGCACAGCAGGAAAGGGCAGATGAGAGCCCTGCCGCGGTGATGGCCCTGTGTCTGAACTGGCTTGCAGCTTTTGGCTGCTCTCTTTGAGGGGAGGAATTGGGCATGGTCTTGCAACATGCCAGAATCACACCAGGTGCCCCGTGAACAAGAAGCTTGCCTGCAACCTGCTGGTCTCCCAGCAGGACGGGGCTTACTGTTTGTGCTCTCTTCCCTCCTTTCTAAAGAAGCAGATGGAGAGCCTGTGCACAGGGGTGCATTTCAGCAAGGCAGCCGTCTCACACTGCCCGTCCAGCCGGGAGCGACAGAGGCCACGCACACAGCTGGTGCTGCAGGTAAAGCCCCTCGCAGAGCTCCTGGCCGTGCTTAGAGCTTGCTCCCCTCCCACTGCACCCAGTTCCTGGGCCCTTAGGAACTTTGCCCTTTTGGGAACAAGGCCACCGAACCACATTCAGCAGCAGATGAGGGGAGGAAATAGGACCCACCAACGTCCCTCCTGCCCAGAGTCCCTGCATTCCAGAGCTTGAGGCGCCTTCCTTGAGGCACCAGGCACAACAGCAGCCTGGAGCTGGATCCGTCCTGTGGCAGTTCTTGTCCATGTCACATATCGCGGATTAACAGAATGACCCAGGTTGGCAAACCCGTGGCCCAGGAAGGTCTGGACCGTGGCAGAGCCAGAGTGTAAACAAAGCTGAGAGGCCAACAAGAGGTTCCAGAGTGCCTTGCTGTGCAGCGCCTTTGGGAGTTCCCTTTGCTTCGCTGGAATCAGAGAAGCATTGCAGCCCGAGGGTTGTCACGTCTTCCTGGAGGCCAACAGAATGCAAGACAACGTTTTGTGGCCATGTCAGAGCTCTTGTGAGACTGCCAGTAGGGCACGAGACACAGCAGTGAGCACGTTGTTCCTGCAGGTGCGGAAGGGGAGGGACGTGGAAATGGCAGAGAAGACCAAGTGTTACTGAAGTACTGCCTGGCACTGACTGCAGCTCTCGTGGTTTCCATGCTGGCAGCGATGATAGCGTGCTGTCTGCTTATCCGGCGATGGAGGCAGAGCAACCAGTGAGTTGTTGTTCCCCGCACTCCTATCCTGCCCAAGTCTTTACTGGAGGGCTTCTGAGAGCCAGGAGGCTCCAGCAGCGTAGAGAGGCCGGTTAGTTGTTGGCTAAGATGGTCTGAGATGTTTGAATTGGCACGGCTGTTCCTGCAGCCCGTTCTTAGTGCTGGCTGAGAGCTGAGGGCGGCTCTTTGCCATTGAGGAAGGAGAGCAGGGGCTCTCCTGTGCCCTCAGCACGTTCCTCTCTCCGCAGGTGCCTGGCTGCAGCTGATGGAGCCCAGCACGATGTTCGCGGCTACAGCTTGCCCTCGGAGGGACGTCCTGCTTTCCTCAAGGGGCCTGGCAGATGGAGATGATGCCAACAACAATGACCACCTGCCCTCCGGCCGCGTGGCACCACCAGGGCGGCCCCCGCCAGGCCTGACAGCAGCCGGGCTCAGCTGCCCCCGCCACAGCCCACCAGCCCAGGCTCTGCAGCCCGGGGGCATCAACACCACCCCCCGTCCCCCGTCATCACCCTTTCGGGGGGTCAGGAGCGGCCCCTCAGAGTGTCACCTGGGGGCAGCTACTGCCCGGGGGAAGCTTGAGTGGCCTGGCAGCCCCCAGCAGCAGCTCTGCCTTCGCTCTCCCCTCCAGCATCCATCGGGGTGGAAGCCAGCCCAGCAGCTTGTAGTCTTGGGGACATTGTCCAGCAGCCAGCCAACCTCTGCCTGGGGGAAGCCAACTGGCCCAGCAGCCCCCAGTCCCCCCAGGAATCATCACCACCCTCCCACTCCCCTCCACCATCCTTCAGGGGTTGGGAGCGGTCCCTCCTGGCAGTCAGTTTGGGGGCATCATCCAACACCCAGTTTGGGGGCATTATCCAACACCCAGAATGCCAGGGAGAAGGATACCAGGCCCTGCAGCCCCCAAAAAAACACCACCTCTGCCCTCCCACTCCTCTCTGTCATCCATCAAGAGGTGGGAGTGGCACCCATGGGGGGGGGGCATCATGCAACACCTGTAAAACCACTGCCTGGGGGAAGTATGACAGGCACAGCAGCCCCCTGAGCTCCCCTCTTCCCCCCGCCCCCCCCAGCATCACCTCTGCCCTCCCACTTCTCTCCACCATCAGTCAGGAGGTGGGAGCACCCCCGGCGTGTGGGTTTGGGGACATCATCTGCCAGCCAGAGAACCACTGCTGGCATCAGCCGGGGCTTTCCAGGCTGTGCTGTGCCAATAAATAGAAAGTACCACCACAATTGTCCGCGCTGTACTGTTGTCATGTATGGGACATAAAGGGGGTCCAGTTGGGGAATATTGGGGGTCAAAATGGGGGAACGGACTCCCGAGGTCAGGAAGGAGGGCATGGGGGGTACAGGGGACTCTAGGGGTCAGAAAAGGGGGTCAGGATTGGGGGGGAGTAAGGGAAGACAGGAGGCCTGGGGTGGCAAAGTGAGGGGACTGGGGGATGGGAGGAGACTACGGATCAGAATGGGAGAGTTGGAGTGGGGGTTCTAGTGGGGATGGGGGAATTCTGGGTGTCAGAGGGGACAAAATGGGAAGACACATGGAGGGGGCAAG